AGGCTTCTTTGACATTCATCTTTAGGCTCTTCGGAGCAGTACGTCTGAAGTGCAAAAAGGTAAAGTGGGGACGATTTGCCAGAAATTTATGCCAGTGTCAGCCAAATGCACGCATGAATGAAGCACTGGACAGAAACCAAATTTCTAAACCAGGGTTTCTCAACTTCAGCACTATGGAAATTCGGGGCCAGCAAATTCTTTATGGGGGAGTGTCCTGTGCACAGCAGCACGGTTAGCGGCATCCCTGGCCTCAACCCACCAGATGCCAGCTCTGCAGCTGCCCACTACTCAACGTCCCCAGCGGGGAAAAGAGCCCCTGTTGAGAACCGCAATTCTAACACGAAGAAATGCTAAGTCAAAGAAAAGCAAGCAAATCAATACCGGAATATGCTACCACTACAGATGCAAAATGGAACAGCACTAGCAATACTGAACTCAGAAGGCTCTCGAAAGTATACACCGTGTGAAGTTGACGGCAGAAAAAAAAATCACGTAACATGATGTAAATTAACTTGAAAAGATGCAATCATCATCATCTTACTGCCATCATTATGGCCCCAAACTACCTATGCACAAGTAGTGATCAGAAAAACTATTTGCTATGTGTATAGCAGCTTTATTCATAATTGCCAGAACTCGGGAGAAATGCAGATGTGCTGGAGTCAGTGAATGGATAAATCAGCTGTGGTCCATCCAGACCCTGGAGTATCCCTGAGGACCAAAAAGAACTGAGCTATCAAGTTATGCCAAGACACGGAGGGAAGATTAAAAATGCTTATTACTAAGTTAAAGAAGCCAAGCTGAAAAGCCTACCTACTGTGTGACATTCTGGAAGAGGTCAATCTACTGAGACAGTAAAAAGATCAGTGGTTGCCAGGGGTTAGAAGAGAGGAGGGGTGAACATGTGGAGCACAGAGGAGTTTTAGGGCAGAGAGACTACTCTGTATGATGCTGTAATAGTGGGTACGTGTCATTATACATTTGTCCAAACCCCTTGAATGTGCACCATGGGTAAAGTAATGTAAACTATGACTTTAGGTTCATCGGCCATGGCAAAGGTACCAACCACTCTGGTGCAGGATTTCATAGTGATGGAGGCCAGACATACGTGCGGGCAGGAGGTATACAGGGAATCTCTGTTTCCACTCAATTTTGCTGTGAACCTAAAACTGCTCTAAAAAAGAATTTCTCCTTTTTTAAAGCTTTAATTTCTTTTTATTTATGTGTGTGTGTGTGTGTGTGTGTGTGAGAGAGAGAGAGAGAGAGAGAGAGAGAGAGAGAAAGAGAGACTGTGAGCGGGGGAGGGAGGCAGAGGGACAGGGAGAATCTTAAGCAGGCTTTCCGCCCAGTGTGCATCCCGATGTGGGGCTCAGTCTCACGACCGTGAGATCACGATCTCTCTCTTTCTCAAAATAAATAAATAAACATTAAAAAAAGAATTCTATTACTTCAAAACTGTTGGGCTTAAAAATCTTAAGTGTCGGAACAAACACAGACAAATTCCAAGATCCACACTGATGTCACAACAGTAATGGGAAATTTTTAGAAATAAGAAAGCTTAATGATGTCACAGCACATACCCTCAGATTTCAAAATGTGAGACACTGAATGCCTCCCCAATTGCAAGTGAATAAAGAGATTTTTTGGTTTAATATTTAACGGAGAAGACATTCAAAAAAAGTATGAGTTCGTGTTTAACGTATCGAATAACACCTGTTGACTTGTACTCAACTTGGTGCCATTTAATATTTAATTTATTTATTTTAATTTTTCTTAATGTTTATTTATTTTGAAGGAGAGAGACAGTGTGAGCGGGTAGGGGCAGAGAGAGAGGGAGACACAGAATCTGAAGCAGGCTCCAGGCTCTGAGCTGTCAGCACAGAACCCGACGTGATACTCGAACCCACGAACTGTAAGATCATGACCTGAGCCAAAGTCGGACGTTTAACTGACTGAGCCACCCAGGCGCCCCAATATTTAATTTAAATAAATGTTGTTCCTTAAAGTATTTTAATAACTGTTCACCTGATGTCATAATACAAAGGTTAAAACTGTGCTTTCACACTTAATGTGCCGCACATTCAGGGTTTTGAATGACAGCACCTAAAGTTCTGAAATGGATTTCAACTGGTTTTGATACGCAGGCGAGGAAATTTATAATGCAGATCAACTTCTGCTTTCAAGAGCATCCACTGAGAAAAGAGAGTATTGATCAGCATCCTCTATTCAGTGATATAATGCTGCTTTAAAATTAACTTCATCTGTGGGGCGCCTGGGTGGCTCAGTCGGTTGAGTGTCCGACTTCAGCTCAGGTCATGATCTCGCAGTCTGTGGGTTCGAGCCCCGCATCAGGCTCTGTGCTGACAGCTCGGAGCCTGGAGTCTGCTTCGGATTCTGTGTCTCCCTCTCTCTCTGCCCCTCCCCTGCTCAGGCTCTGTCTCTCTCTCTCTGTCAAAAATAAATAAACATTAAAAAAAATTAATTTCATTTGTGCTGATGTCAGTTCAGTTTGTAGCCATTTTACTTTCTATACAACATAGAGAAACAGGACAGAATGACAAGTTTCTTTTAGTCCGTCTTCTGGAAGCTTTTCACTTAATATGGTTGCTGCAAAAAAACGATTTCACCTTTCAGTATTACTCAGTATTTCAAGAAATGCATGGGTGTAGCATCAATGGGACATTTTCAAAGTGAAAGAAGATACCATGGGCTCACAGGTGAACTCACAGAACACAGAGTGGACTGGAAGGTACCATCTACCTACAAATGGGGGGAAAAACAGTGGAAATAGGAAACAAAGGAAAAGGGGAGCAGGAGAAGGTGACTGAATCCCCGCCCCCATTCACTCTGACCACAGGCCCCGAGGGACCAGCAAGGTGGGTAGAGAGGGTATCGGGTCCTGCGGCACCACAGCCCCCACCTGCTTCCGGGCAGTGCGGCTGTGCCCCTGGGTGTGGGGACAGACCTCTGCAGGTGCACAAGGATACAGCTCCGGCTCTTGCCGAGTTCTGCTCCTTCCCAGGTTGGGGGTGCACCCACCTCCAGGTGAGTGGGGTGTCTTAGGGGGCCAACTCCCTCCTGCGTCCCCTCTGGAGGAGCCCACGCAGCTTCTGGTCTTTTGGGCGGGACCGATGAACACTACTGTCACTATTATAGAAGAAAAGGTGGCTCGTGTTTTCGCTTTAAAAATTCTCATTTGAAATCTCTTTGGGCCGTGTGAAAGGTCAGCAGATCATTATTAACCGTACAGAGACAGCAGTTTTTTTCTGTGATCTTTTACTTCTGCATACGACCCGAGGAAGTGATTTTACAATTCTCAACGAAACAGCATAATCAACTGCACCCTTCCTGGCAAAAGGTTGCTCCCCGATGGTGAAAACGTGTCTAGAGATATCGGTTTTCTCGACTATTTCACTAATGCTTTAGCATCATGGACTCTCTGGGCTCGAACGAGCAGAAGGGATGATCTACTGTCTTCATTCTGTAACTGAGTCAAGTGTGAGCTCAAGGAGTCATGTGACTCGCGAAGGCCCACAGGTAGTGTTGTGATGATTCCCGATGGTAGGAAACAGCCTATCACGAACTGAAATCACTATACTCTATCGGCGGAACATGAATCTCAAATCGCAACTTGCTTTCTTCATAGAGACAGGTATCTTCGCTTAGGGATCACTGACAAGTAGCCCAGAGAATAGTCATATTTTATTTTTGAAATCAACCAAAGACCTTTAACTTAACTACCTCCAGATCTGTAATTTGATATTACTGATCCTAAAAACTTCTTTCAATAAGCGTCATTCCAAAGAAATGAGCTTTACAAGAAATGATTCCAGGGCAAGTTACGAACACCCACAACACAGGCAACCTTTCTGCAGATGATTATCACTGCTGACACTGAACAGCATGACAGAACTTGCTACAAGCTGGTAAAACAATAACATAGGTTTGGTGATGAACAGGTATTTTCAAACTTTTCTGTAAGATTGATATAAGTTATATCATTCCTTTTTAGAGACCTCTTATTTAATATGAAGCATATGCTGCAATCACACAGATGTTCCTATACGACACTGGAAATATAAGAAAAACATGTTTCTTATGTTTTTCAGCCAATAATGGAAGTTCCAACATTTCTTTATAGGAAAATTATTCTGCATAAATGCTCAAAAGTACTTGCAACTACATTACTCAATTTTTAAACCACTCTTGTGCTTTAACAGATCTACATGCATTGTTTGCCTTGCTGTAGTTCTAGACTATAAGTTTGATTTACCAGTAAATATCATTATCAGTAAGGATTAAAAATAGTACAATAGTAATAGCACAATTTAAAAAAGTTTTTTTTTTTTTTAATGTTTATTTACTTTTGAGAGACAGAGACACAGAGCATGAGCAGGGGAGGGGCAGAGAGAGAGGGAGACACAGAATCCCAAGCAGGCTCCAGGCTCTGAGCTGTCAGCACAGAGCCTGACATGGGGCTCGAACTCACAAACCGTGAGATGTGACCTGAGCCAAAGTTGGACGCTTGACCAACTGAGCCACCCAGGTGCCCCAGTAATAGTACGATATTTACCTTATGTCATATCAAACAGAAATTACATAATACAGTTCCCCCAAATTTACAGTAAAACACAGAGCCATATATTTAAGGAGGAAAGACACACATACTGTCCATAAATGCAGATGGATTTTTTTCTGCTTTTCTAAATATCGTATGGGAATCCCAAAGCCCTTTGGAAAAAAAAAATCATAAATCAACCTACCGTTTTGCTGCCTCTAAAACAAAAACTAGTTGTGTTGCCTATGATTTGAGAATTTGCAGCTGAATTTTCACGTGGAATAATCTTAACTGAGAAAATAATATTTTTAAAATCGTAGATCGCCATCGCAGGGAGGGAACGTGACTGTGTTAAAAAAAAATACTTTCATTCTCGGCAGATGAATACAAACACCTGTGTGCTATTGAAAGAAACCCACGTGAACACAGACACACAACGTACCCAGGCGCTCACACATCTGCCGCAAGTGGTGATTTTGAAATCCCCATAGAGGTCTTTGATGGCGCCGGTGGTGAAGAAGCCTTCCACCATGAGCAGGATGCCGTACACAAAGAACGCAGCTGCAATGCCATAGATCACGTACTTGAAGATGTCAATCCTGGGGGAGAAGAGACAAAGGCGTTTATTTCAGCAACTCTTCATGCCTGATTGGTGGCAATTGATTCTCCTATGCTCATGGCTCCCTTGGAATGACAGCGATAGCGTATTTACGCCCATGATGGAGGCTGGATTTAAACACATTTTTGCTTTATATGCCTAATATCTGTATATACGTTTTGTTCTGCCCCTTCTAGTATCTGCTGATAGGGCTCTTCGTCTTTGTTTACCCCTCTTCCCTTCCTGCCTCCCCTTCCCTGGTTCATGCCGAGGTAGTCTTGGAAAAGCAGTGAGTCACGTGGCTAGAGGGATTTGCTGAAATTCATTTGACAAGTAGGATAATCATCGTATAATTTCTCCAATTACGACAAAATGTCAGATATAAAGATTTATGTATATACTACTGAGTTCTGAAAACATATCAAAAGAGAAAGAAAGCTTCATGGTTAATGACGAATCCATTTTTTTTTCAATATATGAAATTTATTGTCAAATTGGTTTCCATACAACACCCAGTGCTCATCCCAACAGGTGCCCTCCTCAATGCCCATCACCCACCCTCCCCTCCCTCCCACCCCCCATCAACCCTCAGTTTGTTCTCAGTAGACGAATCCATTTTTGATAACATGACCACCTCGTGATTTTTTTTATGATAGTCAATGGTCACTGTGTTTTATTTCATGCTTACTGTAAACAATGACGAGTATTTTCTGCTGATAATAATGCCAATAATGAAAAAATTATGTTTTTAAAGAAACGTTATAATTTTGAAAAACCAAGCCTTTTTTAGGCAGAATCACTAATGGATTTAGAATTCAGACACAGAACTGAGCCTTAGCTCAGTTATGGCATAAATACCACAGAGAATGGGCAGGTAGTCTTTCCTTTCTCACAGGTCAGTGCCCATGTATTTAAAGGTGGGGAGACACATGTATTGTCTATAAATTGTAAATGGATGTTTCTGTTATTCTAGATATTGTATGGGAACCCCAAAGCCCTTTAGAAAGAAAAACCATAACTTATCTATTTTGCTGCTTCTAGAAACAAAACTACTTGTGTAGCCATGGTGTGTGGAGAGGTATACATGTTAGCTAACATTCTGTTTTTTGTAGTCTTGATATCCTTTTGTACGAAAATTGCTCTTTCTTTCACATCGTCGTTTGTTTTTTCTCTTTTCTCTTATTATTGGAGTATGAATGGAGTAGACAGGGTGGAGACAAATGATGAGGACTGTTTACAAGAGGACAAATGAGGGATTAGAAGGCTTGATCATGCTGATGGAGATTTAGGAATTCCTGATGCTATGACAATATTATTTTTAATTGAATGCATGTAATAGCATTCACTGTACCAGGGCAATTGTTTAATGACTGATCTTCCCCTGTCTGAAAATCTAAACACTGCACAATTTTACTTATTAGGGGCAATGTAGCAGACGATGTGAACTTGTGAGCTCACCAGGCATGCGAAAGAATCTGAGGATTTCGACTGATAGATCAGACTTTGAAGAGTTTGGTTTAGTGGGCTTCTCCATAAAATTTTCAAGTTAAAATGACATACTTTAAAATATATTTAAGTTTTTGTTTAGAAAGGATTTCAAATTTACAAAAGTGGAGGAACATGAATAATACGAAGAAAAACTGTACATCCTTTATCTATTTGATAATACTTTACCTCATTTATTGTTCTCTTGTGTTTCTCTCTGGATAATTACACCTGAACATAGAGAAATTCTCCACCATATTGTTATTGACTTCAGGAAATCTAACACTGATACAATACTCGTGTCAAATCTATTACTGTATTCCAGTTTTACCAACTGGACAGACCCATGGATGAACTTTATGGCATCTTCTCCCCCAATATGCGACCCAGTCTAGGGATACGTACTGCATTTATTTGCCACGTCTCTTTACTCTCTTTGAACCAGGAACACTCCCACAGATTCTTTGTCTTTATGACATTGGCGCAGGTGAGTACAATCCCACTCCCTCCTCATTAGATAGAATGTTCTTCATTTTGAATTTGATGATGTTTCCTTATGACTAGATTCAGATTACTCATTCTCGGCTAGAATATGATAAAGGTGATACTCTGTGCCTCTGCCCCTCCGTAGTGATACGAATTTGCATCATCTAGTCAAGGTGACGTCTGATTTCTGGGCTGTGTAATTACTACTGCTTCCCTTGTAACTAATAAGTGATCTGTAAAGAGCCACTGGCGGACCATGCAAACACCCTGCTCCTCATCAAAACTTCCTGCCGGTGTTAGCAGCCACCGATGGGTGGATCTTGACTACTCCAATCTTCCCACTGTGTTAACAAAATGGTCATTTTCTACCAGTAGCCCTCATTCATATTTACCAGTTGGCACTGGATATTCCAGTGTAAGCAAGAGCCCTCCCGTCTCCCCTTTTTACTTATTTGTTTTTGTCTATTTGTCTATTAATGATATGGACTAATGATGTCTGCTTCTTTCTCCTGAAGTTTATAAGGCACTACTATACTTAATTTTGGTGCTCAAACTGTTCTCGACTTGGCCAATGGGTGCCCCCGAAGCTGGCTCCTCTATCTGTGTGACATTTGGCCATCACTTTTTGTAAAGTATTCCTTACCTTCTCACACAGCAAGAGGACCCAGCTCATTTGGTTTATATCTTCCTCAAGCCCCAATTAGGAATCCCTTTGCCAAGCCCTGGTTCTTTATTTTAATGTTTATTTTATTTTATTGAGATATGAGATAGAAAGAGAGGCAGAGAGAGGGGAAGAGAGAATCCCAAGCAGGTTCAGTGTTGTCAGTGCAGAGCCCAACGTGGGGCTCAATCTCATGAACTGTGGGATCATGAGCTGAGCCAAAACCAAGAGTTGGTCCCTTAACCAACTGAGCCGCCCAGATGCCCCAGGCCCTGGTTCTTTTAATTAGTAGTATTGGAGATCAAGATGTGGGTAGTATGTGTTCTCACTGCTGCTGTGGTGTCTGTGGTTATTTATACACGTAGACATTCATATATGCATGTACATAAACATGTTACATCCCTATGCACATACATGTACATGTGCACATGTCTGCATATCACACACATGTATTTTAGAAATCTCAAATTCAGAGTGATATTTCCAAATCCAATCGATTTCCACAGGGTTCTTGGTTGCCTTCCTCCAGTCTATGTTGTATGTCCTCCTTCCTTAATGAGAATCCTGATTCCCAAGAATACACATGTATTCTTTTGTTCAATTTGTAATAAGCCTAAAGTTATTTCAACATTATTTCAGCCAAAGTATTATAAAAATAAAACCTACTTAAAAAGAAGTCAGGGGGCGCCTGGGTGGCTCAGTCAGTTAAGCACCAACTTTGGCCCAGGTCAGGATCTTGCGGTTCATGGGTTCGAGCCCTGCATTGGGCTCTGTGCTGAGAGCTCAGAGCCTGGAACCTACTTCGGATTCTGTGTCTCCCTCTCTCTGCCCCTCCCCTGCTCATGCTCTGTCTCTCTCAAAAATAAATAAACAATAAAAAATTTTAAAATGAAGAATTTAGGATGCTTGCAATTCCCTGTGCCCTCCGCCTAACACTGAGAGTATACAAATACTGTGTTTCTAAATTACTTAGGTAAGTGAATTCTTTTTTCTTCCCTTCTTTGTGGTTATGGTATTCATTTGAAATGCAGTGGGGGTCTATTTGTTTTAGTTTTAGGTCCCCCTTCCATCCATATTGACTTAATTTCATTTTTGAACGTGTAAAACGTTATCATGCTTCTAAGAGTCAAATCTGTATAAAAACATACACCCAGAGAAGTGTCATGACCTTCCCTATCCCTTCCAACCTGTTCCTTGTTCATTCTTCCTTCTAATCCTTCTGTTTTTTTTTAATGTAAAGGCAAGTGTGAATGTACATATTCCTGTTTTCCCTTCTTTTTTACATGGGAGGGAGCATATACATAGGCTCCTTTGCACTTAGCTTTGACCAATCAATAATATCCTCTAAAATTACTCCATTTCAGTTCACAGCAATATTCCTCATTATTTTTGACAGTTGCATGTACTCCTAGTATAATATATTTACATATATTATTTATTCACCAGTATTCTATGCTTGCACATTTAGATAGTTACCAATATTTTGCAATCACAAACAATACCGCAATGAACAATCTTGTAGAAATGTATTAAAATAGTTGATAGTATATCCTTAGGGTAGAAGGATCGATCAGTTGAAAAGGGAAGGTGTGTAGCTTGGTTAGAAACTGCCAGATTCCTCCCTGTAAGGGCTGTGCCATTTCTGTATCCCAACCAGCAATGTATGAGAATCTGTTTCTGCACAACCTCAACCAAAGAGTGTATCGTCAAGCTTCTGAACTTTTGCTAAGCTGATGGGTGATAACTGGTATTGTAGTCTTCCTTTATTTATCTTAGTAAGAGTGAAATTGATCACCTTTTTATATGATCATGGGCAATATTTATCTTTTTGTGAACCGTTATGTGTTTTGCCCACGTCCTATATTCACCTCAATTTTTTAAATACATTTGCTTAGTAGAGCTATTTGACTTTTACCTATAATACACGTTGCTAAATTTTCTCCTACTTTGCCATCTGTCTTTTGACACTGCTTATGGCATTTTGCCATAAAACTTAAAAAAAATTTGATGTTGTCAAAGTAATCTGTCTTCTTTTTCATTACACTGGGATTTTTGTCATAATACCCAAGCTATCGAGGAATTCACCCATGTTTTTTTCCAGTGTGTGTATCATTCCGTTTTAGTACATTTAGATTTCCGATCAATTTGGTGTTTATATTTTGGGAAGTGCAAGAATTGGACCTAATTTTATCTTTTTCAAAACGGCTGTCTATAACACCTTGGAAATTCTCAGATGTGGATGCTTCTCTGGGGGGTGGGGAGGCTAGCAGCACCCATATTTTATAGCTTTATGTTAGTTTCAATATCAGAGAGTGCAGCAGTATCGTTAATTGTATCCAATGTTATATAATGGCATTATTATAACAAGT